CCTGTCTCCCAGCATCCTGAACACTCAAGCAAGCATTGCAGACAAAAATGAGTTTGGAGAGCTGTGTTCTTTGTTCCAGCACAAAGTCATCGACACTTGCTTAGGGGTGACACAAATAAGGTCCCCTTGAGAAAGATGTCACAATCTACTGAAGAGACTTGATAATGTCATTATTGCCGGGCAGAGTGGCATGCCCCTGTAATCCCAGGACCTCACAGGCACACTCTAGCAGGAGGACTACTGTGAGTTCAAGGCCAGCATGGACTACCAAATGAGATGCTCAAACAAACAAAAAGCCGGCACTTATTTATGCCAACAGTGCCAATAGTGAGCTTCTTGGTGGGAGGTAGGCTGCAGGGATAGTGACAAGTCCCAGTGGGGAACCCAGGCTTGAGGGTAAAGGAGGGACTAGAACCTGGGCAGAACTTCCACTGGAAAAGGCCCCTCATAGGAAGGGTGGCCTTTACTAGAAGGACACAGCCCGCCCAGCTCTCCCTGGGACTGTCAATGCAGAGCATACAGGCAGGTTGAGGGAAGGGAACGGACTTGAAAGGTAGGAGGGATATGGTCGGCACAGCATCTCGGACGCCCAGCAATGTTAGCACAGCTCCACAGCACAACATTGAGCCTTCAGATCCGAGGGGACTGAAACACCCTGATGGCAGAGTATTGGAGGAGCACACTCCGGGGCCTGGGGTAGATTCCTAGCAGCATATATACACGGGCAGGGGGCGACACGGAGCTCCAGCTCCACATTCTACCTTGTCATGGAAAGGTGTCTACAATGTGCAGTTATTGGGTAAGAAAAATAAATTATAAATCAGTAAGCATTCAAACCAAATTTGGCTGTGTAACAAATATTCACCTAGGTTACCTATATGGGAGGTGCATGTGGTTCCCCCCTCTCCTTGATACCTAAGCTGCTGTCATACACAGCTTCTCACTTTACCCTCCAGTGAGCTACAGGGGTCAAGACAACATGCTCTAACTTGACTGGAGAACTCAGCCAACATCTCCTGGACTCTGGAATCAGCAGCCCTCTTAGGCAGAGCACTTCAGTGAGCAAACTCCATTACTTCTTGGTTAGCAAGACTCTGGTAGGACATGAGAAAAAGGCTAATGTCGCTAATGGATGCTCTTTTGGAGGCTGACCTTCACCAGGCCAGCACTCAGAAGTCATCTTACCCAGGGCAGTTCATCAAGGGCTGCATCACCAGAAGTAATCCGCATGACCTCAAACCTATGAGCTGAGCATGCTCCCAGCCAAAGCGCCTCAGCCATCAGCCATCCAGGTTCAAAGATAGTCTATGTTCAGTCCTGTTTCTCCAAAGCTCCAGGAAGTGACAATATTAGAATCTGCCTTGTAGCTACCTCCTTGGGCATGCCAGGAACTGTGTTAGGTACTTACACATCCCTACTTGGGCCTGTTTCACAATAAAGAACAATGACCCTGAGGATGTATGAGAGCATCCATGGGATGTGGAGTGGATGGTGGCAATGGCTTTCGAGGCATTACAGAGGCCCAAAATGTCTTCACCTTGCACTGTCTTTTAGAAGTACCAGACTCACTGCAACTCCATCAGTGCTGAAGTCACAGCTGCCCTGGACCTTTGCCTCCCCCTCCCAGGCCTCAGTGAGGAGCTGCCTGTTCTCTATCTTCTTCAGAGCCGCTTCCCCAAGACCGTGGATCCAAGTTCACCAAGGAAAAGCTCGGCAAGCACAGGATGTGGCGATGCAGCCTCCAGACCTTGACTAGGGTGGGGTGGGCACAGTCAGCACCAAGGCCCTCATCTGGGACAGCCTGCCAGAGGCTTGGGTTCAGGACTAGTCCAAGGGACACTTCTGAAATTTTTGCAGAGAGGAATCCACAAAAACAAGCAAATTATGGCTCAAAAGCAATGCTGAGGGGCTGGGGCTGTAGCTCAGTGGCACAGGACTCACCTGGCACATGAGTTCCATCCTCAATGCTGTGAAAAAGACTGTCGCGGGACCACCCAGTGTGTGTCCATCCCCACACAGCACACGATGGTCGAGGGACCACCCAGTGTGTGTCCATCCCCACACAGCACACGATGGTCACGGGACCACCCAGTGTGGGTCCATCCCCACACAGCACACGATGGTCACAGGACCACCCAGTGTGGGTCCATCCCCACACAGCACACGATGGTCACAG